AGAGAGAGAGAGAGAGAGAGAGAGAGAGAGAGAGAGAGAGAGAGAGAGAGAGAGAGAGAGAGAGAANNAAGAGAGAGAGAGAGGGATAGAGAAAGAGAGAGAATGGGCGAGCGAGCGAGCGAGAGAAAGAAACGCGCGAGGACAAGCACGTCAGTTGCACGAGACTTTGGCAAACACCTTGGAGTAGGTCGCGAGTAGGTTGACACCTTCGGGGGAGAGGTCGCGCGCAGAACTGACACCTCACGCGCGCGGTCCAGCTACCCTCAGCATCCAGCAGCAGCAGCGGCGGCGGCGGCGGCGGCGGCAACGGTGGCGGTAACCGAGGGGACGAAGCGGAGCACGCGCGAAATTCCGCCCCTGTACTGCTCCTACCCCCTGTTCCTGCTCAACCTCCACCACCGATTCTCTTGTTCCATCTCTCTCCATCTTCCTATCGCGCGTTTCTCTCCCTCCCTCTCCCCCCCCCCCTCCGGCTATGCTCGGATCTGTTTTGTCCTGACTCGCGCCATCGCCGTCTCCTAGAAAAGGATGTCAAGAAGCGAAACGGGACGCGAACTGGCCGATAATTATCGGCCGGATGATAGCCAGGACCAATCGTGCTTTTTCAAAAGGGATCTTGGCCACGAGAGGATCTACTCTAAAAGTAAAAAGTAATAAAACGTAGGGAAATATTGTTTAAAGTTTCGTGCTGTAAAAACTGTTTCGCGTTTGATCGAGCGATATATACTCGATCGAATGTATATATCGTCGGAAATAAATCGACCTGGTTAAAAGTAAACTAGAGCCAACCGTCTGTCCAAGGGGAAAAGTTTCGTTATTTTCCGATTTTAAAAGCCGATTTCTTCCTCGGATTCGAAGGCTCTCGTTTCGTCCAATCGCGACGCGTTGTTGGATACGGAAAGAAATAATGCAACGAAATAATTACAGAGCGAGTGATTTTTCCAAAAATGATTCGTGAAAAAGGGAGCCGATACACGGTGAAGGAACGCTTTGACCCGGGCCGGCTTATTGTCGCGCGTTATGGGAAATTTCGCGTGTGCAGCCATGTAACAAAAGTTAATTTCATCCGACCTTCGGCATCTGGCAAGCGTAAAGGTATATGAAAGTGAGCACGCGCGAAATATCACCCTCGTGCACCCTCCAGCGACCCCTTTACAACTCCTCGATCCTCGCACCTACCAACGGGCGAGAAGGACTTTTCTTAATAATTACTGGCCAATGGAGGCCATATTGTGTCCCCCCTCCCGATGTGCCCTGCCTCGTTTAATATTCGAGTATGGACACAACTTACGTACGCGACAATTTGCACCGAATATCCATGCACGTACTCAAACACTCCTTGCCGTTGTTATTCTTGAAGGGTCCGTGTTTTAATGCATCACGGTCGGTGCAATAAATGACGCCTTTTGTCCCTCGTTCATTGTTTCCCTTTACGGCGGGAACCACGCCACGCATCGAATTCGAATTTCGGGTAGCGCGTCGGCACGATATAAGTGTTTATTATCGACTTGAAGAGAGATGAGAATTCTTTTTTTCTTTTCCTTTCTTTTTTTTTACCATTTTACACTCGCGCGAGATACGAATAATCAGGATTATAATATAACTCGTAACATCAAAAGCGTTCCCAGTAAGCGTCGAAGTACGAAGAGAAAAGGTGCGGCAGACAGAGGACTTTTAATTCTTGGCGATATACAAAGCTTTATGCGTATATTATACTATCGTTATATACGAGAGAGAGAGAGAGAGAGAGAGAGATGTAATAATTGTTACATCAGTTTCGAAAATTCATACGTATTCCCTACCATTTCGTTTTCTCGTTTCGTGTTTATTCATTTGGCGAATTGGTAAAATTGAAATGAAATTGTGCGCCAATTAATTTAGGTTGACGTGCATAGTGGCCAAAATCCACTGATGATTAGGACAAAGCTGTGCTGCTGTTTGCCTAACGAATATATAGGGTTTCCTCCTGTCCTAACTACAAATTTCATAATCCTGATTATTAAATGTATAATTCTCCCCCCCCCCCATGCATGCATGCAACTTGTGATTAGCCCGTGTCACGAGATTATTACGATTAAAACGTAATTGTCGAGTAACGAATCGTGATATTTGACATCGATAGAGATGACGGAAAGCGGGTCAAAAACATGGCGTATCGAGTAAGAATTAATTCGAGAGCACGCATTATCGGGACGCAATTTTTCCGATCGATCCGAAGCAAAAAAAAAAAAGAAAAGAAGAAGAAGATGGACGGAAAAAGAGGGAGGCTCGAGATTAAAATTCAACCGCGTCCAGATCCACTTCCGGCCGCGATAAAAGCGAAAATCTCCAACAATTATCGTCGTGGAATTTCCTATCGTTTCCCGTTTACCTCTAAGCGAGGGCTTTTCATTGTCTGAAGAAGGCCGAATGGAATCGGGAGGAGGAGGAGGTAAAAAAAACAGAGAAGGAAAGAAGGAAAACGAAGTCGCACCGGTCGAGACACGGCAAAGCGTGGGGAAGAAACGCGAAAGGGTGGTAAGGGTTGGTCGTAGTCGTCGTCGTCGTCGTCGTCGTCGTCGTCGTCGTCGGCCGTAACCGAAGAGACGATGAGAGGAATGCTTGTGAACGCGGATACGGAGCCGCGGGGACAAAGAAAAAGGGGGATGAAGAAAAGGGGACAAAGGTATCAAAAACAGGAGCGGAAACACAGGTAAAAAACGCGAACGGCGGAGAACGTCCTTTCACCGGGGCTTGACGAGGCCGCGAGCTTCTACTATTTCACGATAATAATGAAACGTTACCACATGTGCGCGTATCTATCGAGACGTGGTTGGAAAGCAAGTAATTCTGAGACCGGTGGCAGCGCTAATTACGCTTTCAGGTAAATAGCGACAAATGCGATCGGTGGGATGGCAATTAATTATCAGGCTGGAACTAGCTGCGCGCTGCCTCGGCGACATCCGAGCGACGTTGTTTCGCGAAATTATCGAAAGTCGGTCGTTTAAAATTAAATTCGGCGGAAGAGGAAGAGGAAGTTTCGTTGTTAACGAAGGAGGTGTATTCGCCGACGATATTGTTCGTCATTGAGATTAAGATCGCGTATCTCGAGGATACGTGCACACGATTTTTTGCCGATTTCACGGGATACGTGATTTCATTAACGTGGACAGTTTTACGCGTGCAACTTTTAAACGACTATTGCGTTCCCATAATCGCAAGCCCGTGGTCATAATACGGAATAGCAGCATCTGGTAATTAGGAACTTGAGATCGCGATAGCTTACGTACCGCGAGGGAATTTCCGCTCGGGTTCGTATCTGCCTCGTGTATGAATATAAGAAAACGGTTACTCCCTTCCTTCTGATTTAAATGGATAAAGCTGTAATGCGGCTTATTAAAATCGAATAATGCAACCGAGCCCGGAAACGATTATACTCTTCTCCCCCTGCACTCGTCTCCAGAATTAAATGGTTAAATATTCATAACGAGTTACACTTGTTCGAGGAAGAGGATCCTCCAAGACGAAGGATTCCGTCTCTCTTATAAAGAAGCCTTCTAAAGGCTTCGACCGTTTATCTTTCGCTCCCTTTTGACAATCCGTTCAACCGTTCTTTCTTTTATCTCTTCGGCAAAGAGAAAGAAAAATCTCGACGATTCTCTCTTTTCTACGTAGAAACGATCGGAAAAAAAAAACTTTCATTATGGATTATATTTACTCCTCGATAAGACGATGGATAAGATGATCCGTTTTCGACCACGGATGGCCACTACGCGACGTTACAACCCGTCCCTTTGAGACTCGCGTAGTCAAACCCTTGTCATATTTCCAAGACAACGATTCTGCGGTTAAATTTATGGCTGCCGTAACAAATGTACGGGTCGTAATTATTTGCATACCTTGACGAGGGATGAACACGTCGGATCCTCGATATAATCCCACCAAACTAGGGTGGATGGTAAACGTTGCTTTCGCGACGACAAACAATTTTTTTTTTCTTTTTTTTTCTTTTTTCTCAACATTCATTCGTCGTAATTCGTCGCGTAATAAATATCTTGGCATTTGTCAAACATTTCTAACGATTTCGAAATCATCGATTTTCAACGATTCTCAAAATATTGACGCCCTAGTTTAACGTAATCTTTCGAGAAAGAAATTCTCGAAATACAGTTGTTCGAACCGATAAACCGAATCTCACGCGTGTTTCCACACTTTTCCTCCTCTCCTAAGATAAGTATCTGGAATATCTCTGAAACGATACACGTTCGCGCACGAAACTTATCGCGTTTTCCTTTCCGCCTCGTGTTCTCTGTGGAAATATTGTTTTAAATTTCTCGACTCCGGCAGGAGTCGATCAGGTGTTGGAAAGCTGAAAACTTCCACGACTTC